ATCCTTGGAGAATGTTAATTGAAAAGTTACATCGAATGCACAGCAGGTGGTTGGGACCATAATGGTAAAAAATCAGCTCAACCAGATGCAAGCGAACTGCACAGCTGCCACTTTGGTAATTGGGGGTCACCGTGGGGTGGTTAAGGGGTTGCTGAATTAGGGACTGACAGAGCTGCAGTTAGGAGATGGGAACTGGGTGGCTGTCATGGCAAAATTGCACTCCCAGGTGACTCAATGACTCCACCTTTTCATCAGCTTATCTTTGTTTTTTGAGGTAAAAGGGCTGTGGAGGGGATGGAAGAACAGACATACATGCCATAGGTTTTGACATGATTCAGTGCTGTGGTTGACCTCAGGGTGTGTTCCTCCTACAATTAAAACTGCCAGCTTTCTCTTTGCAGAAAGCAATCTCAGAGTCCCTCCCTGTTGCTGCCTTCTTCCATCAGATAGATGGCTGCCACTGCTCCACCTTCCCTCCTCCATTCTGAAGATTATTTTTTAAAACAATCAGTATACTTAGATTTTGAACATAAGACCTTCCACATCCCTTCACATGCGTGATTTCCTCTGAAGGAAGAAGTGTCCCGCTAGTCCAGCATTATTTGATCTTATGTGGCTTTTACCTTTCCCTTCTCTTTGATCCCAAATTTCTTGACACAAAAATAGTGGCTTTCACAAGGATCGGGCAGATTTATGGAACTCAAGGGTCATGAGATTCTCTGAGTCTGAAACTGCCTCAACATGAAATAGAAAAAAATCGCTAAGAAATGTACCATGGCCTTTTTTTTTCTCTTTCTATGCAGCTTTCCTAATAAGGCAGATGAGAGACAGACAGGTTTTGCTTACAGCATTTGTAGGTGGCACTGTGCTCCTCACCCCCTCCCTGTTCCCCCTCCCTCTCCAGGTGCTGTGAGCAAGGGCACACAAGTCACACATCAGAGGCCAGCAACACTTCTGCCTAATATTGCACTTCCAGCTTTTTCTGTGCCTTCCTAAGAAGTCAGATTCCTAGAAGTATTTGTAAACAGAGCTCAGGAAGACTCCTAACTTTGCCTCAAGTAGCGCATCATGAATACTATAGTTATGAAATGAATGCCCCTAGGAGGAGCACAGATGTAGTTGGTAACCTACCCCACAGCACCGAGCTGTGCAGAGCAGAGGGAGCAGCAGAAATCAGCCCCTCCATGTGCACATACGCTACACTTTTCCTTCTCTTCATCAGTGTCTAATTAAATTCCATTCAACCTGAACAAAAAGATGCATACTTGTTGCAGGCAGTAAATAAGGATATGTTAGGAAATGAGCATGTGTGAATTTTAGCCACAAGTTGAAGAATACAGAGCAGCTGAATTATCAGTAAACTCTAGGGTACCATTTGATAGCAAAAGTTTCTAATAACAACATGTAAAATTGCAGATCATAGCAGCGACATCAAATCAGCATTTTCCAATTCAGAATTAATTCAAAAGCAATCCAGTCAGTATTTCTTCCATACATGACACTCCAGTCAATAGTACCATGTTATATTAACATTGCTTTCAAAAACACATGACTAAGTGTCCTTTGCCAGCCTGCAACTAGAGGTTCCCTGGAATAATCTGCATATAGGAATATATTTGATATGAAACAGCTTTGCCCTTGACTGGAAATAGAGGCAGGAAAACAAGGCTTGTTTCCTAACACCAGACATCATAACAAACGACTGTACCTCTTGCAATTACTACTATAGCAAAAGACCTGTCTCTGTGTTATTGGAATATTGACACAACACTTTTAATTACAGTTTGAGTAAAACTGAGGACTCAAATACAGAATAGGGAAGAGTTTCATCACTGCCTTGATGTTCTTGGTGTTATTCTGCTCAAGATGAATAACTTACAGTTTGGTGGTCACAGAGCCTGGACTTACAGATAACAGGGTTTTCCAAGCACTTTCTGAGATCTACCATTCTTTTAGAGCTGATACCTTCCACAGAGCAGCATGACCCCATCTCACTTCCTTGCTGTCCCTAGGAGCCTGAATGCACTTTTGGAGCAAGGACATGGAGAGGACTCTGAGCTCTCAGCATGCAGTAAGGGTGGAGGTAGCCACCCACTGGGTAATGGCTTCAGCTGGGCAATTCCGGATGTGGCCTGGAGACCTTGCACACATATAGCCACCACCAGAAGCACCAGTAGAGAGCAAGTGTCATAGTGCAGCATAATCCCCTCTTCAGCCTTGTCAAGGATGGCGGGATCAGACTTCCATTCTCAGATAATAACCATTTCATGTAGGCAGTTACAAGACCTATTTATAGGGATTATTTTACCTGCCATCTTTACCCTTTAGAGGAAAGGACTGGTACTTTGAACATGTGGCAATTTCATACTACTCACCTACCCCCATATCTTTTATTTGGGTGTGTAGTATCTGGTTATGACTCTTGAGTTAGTTAGACAGTGATTGTTTTATGAAAAAATTATGAAACAAAAGTAGTTCAGGTAGACTCTGAACTGAAAGGAGGTTGGGATCATCTGACTAATGACCCACCTAGGTCTAGTTTGCCTGCTCCAAGAAATCTGGGAGAGGTGTTTATGATTAGCTGTTTGTGTAACCAAGCTATGCAAACTAGTAAAAAAAAGTCGTGTGTGTGAGAGAGAGAAGGAACATTGACTGCTTTGACAACTGCTTTGCCATTGCTAAGGAAACTGCTCCCTTGGTAACCATGGTCAGTACATCTGTCTTATTTTATCTCCAATTCTCACATAGACACCATCATGGAAAGAATATTAACACAACAAACCCCCCAAACATTTCAGAAAAGGAAAAACTAATGAAAGCACGAGGTTTCTATTGATGTCTTTACTAAAAAGTTTAGGGAGATTCTGCTTTGGTGTTGATTATGACTTTGCCTTGCCTGAGATGTGCTCCTTAAATATTAACTTAAGCACAGTAATAATTTATTCTTTTGTTCTGCTTTGTACTTCTTTAAAATGTGATACTTATTTTCTGTTAGTTCTTCTAATTTACCTAATGAAATTGGACTTTACAACAGGAAAGCCTGAAGGCTGAGAAAGCTTTTGCATCTGCCAAAATAAGAGTTTATATTCTTTTGCTAAGGAAAAAACCTTACTGACTTGAGTAGAGTAGTACAAAAGTTCTGATCTGAAAGATAACAACAAACTTTAGAGAGGTCTCTGAACTTTTTGGATCAGGAGCATGTGACAACAGCAAGAGCTTTCTTGACAGTTCTGTTTAGATCCTTTAACAAGGAGGAAAACCAGAAACATGCACAGAAATCAAAAACTGGATGGAGTTTTTGCCACTTTTTAGTGAAATCAGAATATTTTCCTGTACCTACCAATAAATCAGATGTGAAATATTGATAGAAATACAACTTTACACAAAAAATGCCCACAAAACCACCAAATCTAATGAAACAGAAGAAATATGTCTGTTACAGAGGATGCAAACAGTCTCTAAGGCTTTCTATTCATAATACCAGGCACTATGAACATCCTTTGGGTAATCTTTTGCCTCAGCGATAAGAATTCTGCTACGCTGCGTTAGCAGCGCCAGAGGTACACGGGTTTCTCAGTAACTTTAAGAGTAGCATTTTCCTGGTCTTGTAAAGAAGAGAAAAAACTTGAATGCTGGTGAAAGAGCAAGTAAGAACTTACACACAAATTTGAAAGTATCTGTTCTCAAGGTGGGCCATAGTGACTGCATGATAGAGGGACCAGGAGAGCCAGGGCTGTGGTTTGTGGATTTACTGTGACTGCATGCATAGCTACAGCAATATCTATTTGATAAGAAAAGCCACCATTCAAGCTCAGACCACTTCTCTAGCCTTGTGCCCCTTCTCTAACAGCAGCTGGCAGGAGAAGGCTGGAGAAGAGCTTAAGGACAAGGCAATCATGGTGGTACCTCTCCACGTACTCTGCCAGTGTCTCAGTAAAAGAAAAGCGATGACTGTAACAGCCCACCAGGGATACAAGGATGCTGACTGATGGAAAATTTTGGGCTGGTGTACTGATCTCAAGAACAGGGCAGAGATAGCAATCCATGGCTTCTCACGGTGGTGTGAGCATACTAGCACCTCACTAAAGAGTTGTGTCACATGCTTTGTGGTGGGAATTAGCTCTGTGTGAAAAGTTACTCACAGCTTCTTTCCTTTGAGTAACCTTGTTGATGACAACACGATAAAGCAATAACTCAACTTCAGCTGAGACAAACAACCCAGCATCCATTCCTATAGCATGAATATGGTGGTTGTATCACCATCAGCAAACCTTACTTTCACATCAGCTATATATTCATGATATATCTTTCCTTTATATCTATTCTTTTTTTAGGAAAAATAATGCAGTGTGAGCTATTGTCACTGGTATTTGATTTCCCACTGCAGAAGTTTTGAGACATTAGTAAAACATAAATGCCATTTTACTACTCTGTCATGTAGCCTCACCTTTCAATTTTACAAGTAGCATTTGTAACCGATTTATTTACCCAAGGCCATTTACTATAAGCAACACAGCAATTAGTGCTCATGAAACATTGGGTTTAACTTTACCTAGAAGCCAGAAGCAGTTGTACCAATACCGCTGGTGTAAGGGAGTTGCCATGAGTCATTTCTTCCAGTTCTTTCCCTCTCACATCTCCAGATCCAGTGGCACACCCGGAAGAAGCTGTGCTTTTCCTTCTCCTGCATGAAAACAAGGGGAAGAGCATCTCAGCCCTTCCAGGAGCTGAATGTGACTGCATGGACTACCAAGGCCTTGGATATCATCAGGGAACAGCAAGGTGTTCCCTAAGGAGCAGGGAGCCAACACAGACACCATGGACAGCTGCCACAGTGTGGAGGGAGCCCCTCTCTGCAGTACCGGAGTAGGAGGAACAGGCAGACCTGCAGATGGTGGCCAGGTCCAACCAAAAGCCTAGGTCATAAGGCGAAATTGCAATGAGGTCAACCTGGAAGTGAGCCTGTAGGTCAAGACCAGTATGCCCATAGCTCAGATGAAAACCAGCTCGCTCACAGAAAGGAGCAAATGCCCTGGGTCAAACTTAAATGGGCTCCCAGAGCTGTGGGAAGTGCTTAGAGGCACCAGGTGAGGTTAATTAGAGCCATTAAGGCTTATCAGTGCCCTCAGGGGCTTGGAAAATTCCACAATAGGAGGAGCCAGCTATATAAAAGGTACTTACCCAGTTACTAAAGCCTTGATGCTTTCCTCACCTTCAGTACTAAGGAAACTCTGCTGACAACTTTCTTTTAAACTACTTCAGTGTTACTATGAGGAAGAGCGGTTTCCTTTTGTTTAAGTAAAAAACCCCCAAAAAAACCGGCTCCCCCCTCAAGAGTCCCGTGCCACCCCGAAACCCAACAAGCTGCATTACTAGAGAAAATTGAAAAATAATTACCACTGACAGATCATAGATTCACAGAATGGTTTGTGTTGGAAGGGAGCTTAAAGCTCAACCAGTTCCAACCCCCTGCCACAGGCAGCAACACCTTCCACTAGACCATGTTGCTCAAAGCCCTGTCCAACCAGACCAAGATATAAGGATTCATGTACACAAATATGTTAGAGGTTTTGTGGAAGACCACACTTTGGCAAGCTTGCTTGTTCTAACCTGTCTCTGCAGCTGTGCAGGTATATAAAGTCCTTTGAGTTTGGATCCAGGCAGTGTAAACCAGACAAGCAAACCACTTGTAATAGCAGCACATGCTTTTTGAAGTGTATTAACTACTGCCACCACATGATGCTGAACCTTCTCGCCAGTCACTTGCTATGGGATAACTCTAAGATTAGGCAGGAGAAGGCTGACATGTGAAATCTGTGCCACTTACTTAACCAGTCTGTCAAAATGAATTGGGCTGCTCTTGCTGCGTTAGCCTAGAGAAACAAGTGGCAGGGCCTTGGGTGGCATATGCCTATGGAGTGGGGAGTGAGCCTTCACCTCCATGTGTCAGGTTGACAAAGCTTCGGGGTGGGGGGGGTGAGGGGACAGGGCTCTGCTGTGGTCTCTTCATGTCAGCCGAGGACCTTCTCAAACGGGTATCTGAAGGCTCATGCTCCCACTCATTGCAGTGTGTGGGAGCCCTTGGGTAGAGTGGTGCCAAGACTGCTCTGAAACTAGCTGGTGTGGTTTTGAGGGTGACTGAATGATGACTGAGATGACAAGCTGGCTGGACAAGGGCTCGCAAGAAAGTAGGCCAGCAAAAATTTCTAATTCAGATAAAAATACCTTTGTAGTCTTTGTAGTGAGGGAGAGCAGCGGCACTCAATCTAAATGTCTCTATCCAAAGAATGAGCAAGAAAGAGCTTTCTTAGATCCTTTACCTTTACTTAAAAGAGACAAGAGATGATCTGACAGCAGGTTCATTAGGCTCAGCTTCCAATAATGAGGCTGTCATAGGACTCATCTTACAGCTGAGCCCGTTGCCTGCACAGCCTGCAGCCACTTGCTGAAGAGCTTCTGCCACCTCCAAACACACACTGCCCTCTCTAGATCTTCATCTAAAAGAGGAAAACATCACAATCAAAAGCAAAACAGACTGTAGCTCTCCTGAGAATAATTTATTCACAAATCTCTTTCCTAGACCAAGGCACACTTCATCACGAGGTTTTGTTAGACACCTGGGGAGTGGTGCTGTGCCTAATGGTCAGGAACCCTCCTGAGCTGGCTGGGAAAGGAGATGTCCCTGAGTGTGGTGGGGGGCAGGAATGGTTTGATGAACTGAAGATGCAGAAAAAAGAACACAAAACAAGTTTGGAAGGGACATGAAGATCATGCTTAATTCAAAGGAGTTTGCCCTTGAGACCCATGGAGAACACATCAGCTGTCTCCAGCTAATGTGTTTTCTCCAGCACTCCAGAAAAAAAGAGCCGAAGTACAGTATGTACTCGTCTGCTGAGACATTTAGATTGGCTACTAATACTCTGCAAATGTTTATAAAGAAAACAAAATGTGGATGATAGCCATTTTCATTAAAGCAAGCTGATTCAGTTCACCCTGAATCACAGGATCCCTGAGCCATTTTGGAGACTTCTGCTTCACAACAGCACTGAGGCTGTGCGGCTCTTGCTGCTGGTTGCTTGCTTGATGGGTCTGGTACACACAGCTGCAGGTGGAGGCATTGCCAGGGCCAGGTATCTGCTCAATGTCTGCAAGGTGAAGGTTAATATCCCTTGGCCCTGCCACCTCAGTTTGATTTTAATCAAGTCAAAGCCGAGAGGAGGAAAAAGACAGAATTGAAACTTCAAGCGTTACCTGCTCAGGGCAGAGTTCCCTCTTGTGTACTATGTAAAACTGTCAGAAAATTTGGTGGCTGGTTCTTTGGGTGCAGATCATGATCTTCCTTTGGGCCAGGCAGCACATCTCTCTTGAAACCAGGAGCACAGATGTTTTATGATGTTCTGGGAACGTTTCCCATCTCTGTCACCTGCTGCACCTCATCACCCACATATTTATGCCAGTAAAGCATGAGAATCCCATACTGGTTTATATATACCATGCCCATGGCAGAGCCTTCAAAACAATGGGAACTGCAGTTCTTGAACCATTGCTCTCTGTAACTGTCCCTACCTCCAAAATAGGTGACTTTGCTAACCTTGCAATGAAGGAACTGACAACAGTGATGAAAGCAGAGACATAATTTCATGTCCACCCCAGTAATTCTCTTTACTGAAATAACGTAAACCCTGGGGATTAATTTGGCTCATTGTGGGCGGGTGCTGTCTAACTCGCCCCAGTTGGCTCTAGCTGAAGCTGTGAAGCCTACAAAGCCATGGCCTGACACACACTGGCACCTGAGTCAAAATGTCCTGATGAGCTGTGAGACAGAAACAAATGCCCATGGGACTGGTTGGAGCAGCAATTGTACTAGGGTGCTCTCAGCCATCAATAGCATCCTTTCGCAGTGGTGCCAAAATCAGACTGGGTCATGGCATAAGCCACAAAGGGCTTGTTTCTCCCATGCTGCCTTCTTGCACCAGTGACACTGCAGTCCAAACTATCCATTGAGATATCAAACAATCCCAAATCAGCCTGTCTGGTAGGATTTTGTATCTACTGCTTGCAGATGGGTCAGATTGCCTCTCCTCCCCAGGATGTCTTCTAGCTAACCCCATTTTCCTTCTGTCTCCTTGTCATTTCCTTATCTTGACGCCTGTTTATGTTATGTGTGTGTATGTTCTACATGCTGGAAGCCTAATTTGAAGCCAAAAATGGCATTGCCTATGTCTCGTGGTGTCCCTAGCCACCACACGTCCCACCCTCCCAGCAGAACTACAGCCAAAAAAGTTTGCTTCTCTTTCGGCACTGCAGTGCTTTCGGATGTCAGAACCAGTGTCAGCCCTCTTCAGAGACTTGAGCAACTGCTGTGAATTTAAAACAAATATTTTTCATCTTAAATGCCATGGCAGGTCAGCTAAACAGAAAAGAATAGCTGGTAACAGGCTCAGAAGGACGGCGGGGTGGAGTGTTTACAGCTCCATCAACAGCTCGGTGTTAATGAGCTGAGTCCGAAAATTACTTCTCTATTGATGAAGGCATGGATGGAGTGCACAGATGAGAAAGACAGTGATTGCCTCTGGCTGCAGGCAGAACTTGGAGTGTTTATTTTTCACTTTCGATTGAACTGGTTTTTTGGAGAGTGCAGTAAAGTTCTGAAAACCGCAGTCATGCAGCTGCCTGTCGCCTGGCACATGCATCAGCCCTGCAGCTCCAGCTCTAGGGGTGCAGGATCTCATCCTGCCGCAAGGAGCATCTGTCCGTGCATGGGAAGTTAAAAATTAAGCTGTGAAGTTGGCTCTTTGTTCTGTGTGTTGTGTGTGCACATGTGTGTACTTATGCATGCCTTTTAACCAAACCTGCTAGGTAGGAACAATTTGAATGTTTTAGACTGCGTAGAGGTAAAAGGACTGCAAATATGTCAGAGGAAGCTTATCCTGCATTGCAACTGTGGTAACTAATGGGAATGTTCTCATGCAAGATGCTATTTCTGCCCCTGATCTTTCCCGTTTCTTTGCTTTCTGTAGGAGACATTGGTGGTGCTATGGCTGAGCAAAGTGGGACAAGAAAGATGTCGTCTCCTTGTCTCACTCTGGAGGATGCTCCTTTTGAACTTCCAAAGTATCAGTGATGCAGATGGTGAGTTTGTCCAGGACAGCTTCTTCTGTTCAGTGTGGCCATTATTTTTGAGAGATTTTTTTGCACAGCATTTCCCTATAGGGGAGTTTTAGTGTGCTGAATTGTGCTGTAGCTAAGGGCTGATGTGTACAAGGTGAATGGCATGGTGCCACACAAGCGGTTCAAGCACATCAGCACTCAGCACTGCCCTTTGGGGTCCTGCTTATGATTTCTGAGAGAAATTTCCTATGGTTGAGGCTTTTCCATAGGTCAAGAGAGGGGATACCTCAAGAAATTCCACTCTTCAGCTATTAGTGAAATTAATTCATAATTTCTGCCATAATCTTGGATGAATGAATTTGTTGGTGTTTGAGGACCAAGGGCTGCATCAACCAACTTGCTTTTTTGTTCCTGAAGGAAAATTATTTCTTATCTTAAACAGCACTTTCTGCTTATAGAGAATCAGAGAATCATTTAGGTTGGAAAAGTCCTTTAATATCAAGTCCAGCTGATAAGCTAACACTGCAAAGTCCACCACTAAACCATGTCCCTAAGTGTCACATCTACATGTCTTTCAAATACCCCTAGGGATGGTGACTCCACTGCTTTGCTAAGCAGCCTGTTCCAATGCTTGACAACCTTTTCTATGAAGAAATTCTTCCTAATATCCAATCTAAATTTCTTCTGGTACAACTTGTCCTATCACTTGTTACTTGTGAGAAGAGACCAACACCCACCTCTCTCCATCCTCCCTTCAGGTAGTTGTAGAGAGCAATAAGGTCTCTCCTGAGCCTCCTTTCCTCCAGATTGAACAGCCCCAGTTCCTTCAGACATTCCTCATAAGACTTGTGCCCCAGACCCTTCACCAGCTTTGTTGTCCTTCTTTGGG